TGATGAGTACAAAAGATTCGATCACGATCGAATATAATTTTCTTAATTGTTATACCCTACACCACTTGTGGTACAGGCTATATTAAGATTGTGCGGACGTAAGCCACATGCAAAAGGGCTTAGAACAGACCCGCCTTTTATTAGACTGTCCGTCCTTTAGATATCTGCTCATGTATATTTGTGTTCAAGCTATAGATCGGATATTTTTGAGATGTTTTGATGAAATTTGGTGCACTAACATGTTGTCACCCAAGCACAAACGCTATATAAAATAGTTTCGATCAGTCCACTTTTTCGATCACTCTCCATATAGCGCCCTAGTTTGAAAGGGTGCTACATGAAGAAAATTGCAATTTTCAAAATTTCTTCACAAGAGTAGCTAAGTAATCGTATTTCGACATTGCAAAGCGTTTGCACCGGCTCAGGTAATCTTTTCAATCCGCTCTGATATAACGAAATCTAAAGTTAATAGGACAGGAGGGACTGATTTTCAATGCTTTATGATGAAAATCAGCTCATATTAGTAAATTAAGATAAAAGAAATGAACTGCACCAAATTTGGACTATCTCGACCTATTCATCGGATCCTAGCCTGTATAAGAATTTTCACGAAAATTTTACGATCTTAGGGCAGAAAAGTCCAAGTTTTATTATGTTATGATGAAAGTTGACCCACAATAGTGATTTGATATAAAAATTAACTGCGCAGCATTTCGAACATGTACCTCAATTTGGGAACCATAGTCTCACGGAAAATAAGCCTTAATTTGCAAACGGCTGTAGTCTTTAATATACGGTTTCATAATCGTAAGTTCATATAAGAAAAGGGTGTAATGTTTGTGAGTTAGACAACGTGGTGTAGGGTATTTAATAGTCGGGCCAGCCCGACTATAATGTTTTCACTTGTTTTTCTTATCTATTATAACTGAACGCTCGCATAGAAAGTAAAACAATTGTGAACATAGTTTCTCCAATGAACTTAATTAGGCAAACACCTACACCTTAGTTACCATCATCACTTCTTATTTTATGTACAAGTATATACATACGTATATAGAAGAAAGACAACAAAAAACTATTTCTTATTTATAAGATATATGTGTACGCTTATGTACCTCAACGCGTATGTCTTAAGTTGAAATGTAAGGTAAGTAATTATGTATATATAGGCAGATATGTGTGTCGACCGGAAAACTCAAGTGTTTGTTGTTATGTATCGTGTGTATATACCAGTACATCAGTAGACAGAAAATGTAGTTTGCAAGGGGGAAATGTTCTTTACCTACAATGGATTTATTTATCTTCGTCTGGTAATTAAATTTGTGCTGGTACTACGTTTTATTAAATTTTAATTGATCTTTCTTGTGTTTATATGTTTACATTATAGAAATTCAATTTCAATGTAAAACAATCTATGTAACGGATGGAAGGAGAAAGGAAGCATAATGAAATCATTTGCTTTTTTGCTGTCGGCTAAATAATTGAATAACATAATAATGATTATGTCATAAGATCTCCTTACGACTTAAGAAACTTACATTCGTACATTGATAAATAAAGTATTACTTAGTGACTCTATCTAACTAAGTTGACATTAAAACAATCTCGAGAAGTTTACATTCCATTTACATTGAGTCTCCCGCTGTGCGTTAAATCTACATTTGTGCCATCAATACTACTTGAGGAGAGAGAATATTGAAAATTATTTTTTGCTAATCCATTATTTCCATATATTTTCTGGAAACTTTTCTTGGAACCAGTAAAAATATCAAAAAAGGGTATTCAAATATTGTGGAAAGAATTTCTGCACTTGTTGTGCTTTGTGGCCTTTTTCATATCAGCTTGAATCTCTTTAATCGAGTTAAAACGGTGTCCCTGAAATGGTCTTTTGACCTTAGAAAGTGCACCAAAGTCCCATGAAGTCAAATGAAGTCAACAGGTGCTAACTTTTTAATACTCCGTTCCTTATGATTCAGGATTAGCACTCAACGTTGCTTTGATAGGCCACGCCTTTGTCAACTTCATTTCCAAAAACTGTTCACATTTTGTAGTAGTTGGGTGAGAATCTCTATTTCTCTATTGCCAGACTTCAATTAATATAGAAAACATAAGTATTTAGAGGGAGGGGATTACTTTGAAGCCGATGAAATAGATTTAGACTCAAAAATAAATAAAAGAAAGAAAAGATTAAATTGATCTTGTTTAACCATTTTTTCTTTTTTCTTTGGTTGAGGAAGAAATGTTTGCAGCTTATAAAACGAAAAATGCATATGTAATTGTAAAGCATATACATTCTTAACCAGTATTAAATTGTGAATCGATCAAGGCATGTCCGTCTGTCCTCACGTCCATCTGTGCGACTGATCAGATTGTAAAGAATTTAGCAAAAGCATTGGATTTTCTTACCGGCATTTTGGCCTTGAAAATGAATCAAATCGGTCAGAGGACCAAAGCGTGTCCAGAGTACAATCGAAAGTGAGAAAGTCTGGTTTTTCAAAAGAAGACGCGTCCAGTATTATTCTTTTCTCTTTGCTCCTCTCCTGATCGCTTTGTTTTAAGGGAAAGATGTGAAATATTCAAGTTGCTATTAAGTGAAGTGAATAAATCGACTTATAATTTCTAATATTTAAAATATCTATCTGTGCTTAAATGTTACCAGAGCTCTTTTTGCGACCCTAAATAGAAAACCATAAGTCAAGGCAGTGGCCATTAAAACTTTTTTTAAAGCTCATTCCTCTAGATTAATAATACCTGACTGTGAAACTGTATACCGGACGTGAGGCGCTTAATATTCAAGGAAGTAGAAACATTTAATATCGTAGCAATTATCTCAATTTCGTACCGAAAGCATAGACAACGTTGGTATCAATCAGGAGAATTATATTTTTCATATCTTCTGTCCGCTAGATTAGAAGTAAGTTCAAAGCAAAAAATTGAAGGTCGGTTTTATTTCCGATCTAGAAAGCCTTTCCAGAGAGAGCAGGTGGGGAAATACTTTTACAGAATAGAACTAATAAGCAAAACGAACTTAAAACTTTGCTTTAGGAAACTATGACATGGCGGATCAAATACCCTTTGGGCGAACTTTTTCCAGCCACCTTTTCCTTTAGCTTTTTCTAGCTATCATAGAATTAATATTTCCATCTAAACAATTGCTTGAGATGTTTGGTCTGCACACAGCGGCCCAGCTTATGATTTAAAAGAATTGTAATTCTCTCTGACTTCTTCTTCATTTTTTTCTTCTCCGACTCGGACTCTGACTACTGATTTAGCTGCTAATATAAGGGTAAGCCTATTAAGTACAATGAGTTCATTAACAGCATCACATAAAGTTTCTGAAAAGCAACTAAATCCTTGTATACAAATTAAAAGTTAAAGTTTATTGCTAAAAAATAGGCCGATGAATCTCTAGGTGTGGTCGGCTCATGTTACATGAACAAGAGCAACATTTGTACGTTGCGCTGTTCTATAGAAGTACAGAATGAAAGCTTTCCTTTCGACAAGAAGTGAATAATTTTTTAAGAGACAACCTTAAAAGAAGCGAACCTTCTCTTCTCCAAGAAGAATAAATGGCTTTTTCTAGCGATTAATATTAATGCCATAACTGACTTCGTGAACTGTATCGTACTAGACAAAATGGGCCGAATTTAAGGCCATGTGATCTGCAGAGGATCATATGAAACGTTCTATTTGATATGTGAAAGTGAAAACCTTATCATCCCGCCTGAGAAAGATGAGAATTAAGCATGAAGGAGAGAAGGAATATAATGTGTATTCGATTTTCAGTGATTACTGAAAATGGGGAAAAGGACAAATTAATTTCTTTTCTTGTTTTTTTTTGGATAAAAGCATTTAATCTATGTCTGGATCTGACATCTTGACACACCAACCAACATATGCTACGTTATGTATAATGAATATAAACAACATTTATCTGTTATTTTAATCGTTAATTTTGCAAAAATTCATTATGTTGTAATATCACTCATACGTCATGGCGTGTAAAAAAAAGTAACTACAACAGCGTATATTACAGAAATACTTGTGAACGCAAGTAATTTAGCAGAAATAAAAATACACATAATACGTACGTAGCATAGGTGCGTGTGTGTGTGTGTTTAAGGGCGTAAGAGAAAACAGCAATAACAATGCACAGTACCGGTATATAAAAACCTTAAAGCAAATATTATTAAAGTAAAATAAAGTGTACACGAATTATGATGATGATGACGATGATTTTTTTTTTTTTTTTAAAACGACGATGACGATGATGATTTAATTTTAATTAAATTGTTTGCTATAAATATTTTCATTTTATATTAAAAGAAGAGTGCAGAAATCTTCAATAGCCGTATGCATCCTTTGGACAGTTTATATTTATATTAAATATGTGTATACGGCAACAATGCAAACACAAATATTAATATAAATGGCAAAAGTATAAAAAAGCACACGTGTGCACACATACATACGTATGGCTGCAAACGTTTATGTAGCAATGTGCTTGTTGGGTATAAATTGAACTTGATCATGTAAAACATTAATAACGTCTGAGTAGACACACTTCACTTATAAACACACACACACACGCACACACACAAGCATATACATCTCATTACGAACATGAAGCATTTCATAAGAGATGAAAAGAGCTTTTAAACGTTGATTTCATGTACGTGTGGGAAAGAAAGCAAGCGTTTTGTAAAGCGGTTGAAAAAGAAAGCAAAAAACGCTACATACATATACATATATATATATATATATATATATATATTCTTTTCTATTTTCATATAATTCACAACGATTTCGATAGTAGCGTTCAATTATGACTGATACCAAGATCAGTTATAGGAATATTTATTACAGTGTTTTTGTACAACTTATGGACTTTGCCTTATCCTTTCCATATTTAATGAAAGCCTGCTTTCTCGGCTTCCTTTAAATTTGCATTTATTTAACTCGTTAAGGGCGGCGAATTCTTTCGCATTTATATGACTTACTTCAACATTTCTGTGTACATGAAGACAAGAGCCAAATATATTTCACATATCGTTGAGCCTCTGAAGCAAACTTTTTAAGGAAATTTTCAACGTGCGTATGCTTGCTCGCATAAGTAAATATCTTACTTTCATAAAAAAGAGAGCAACTACAGTTGAAACTAAAACTTTTTTTTTTTTTCAATACACAGGCAGGAGAGGAAAGAGTTAAAGACGCGAAAAGAGTGAAAATATTATTACACACTACAACAACAAACAAGTAGGTAAAACCACGTTGAACATGAACGTAAAGGACCTTTTTTTTACTTTTTTGTCTTTGTCTAACAACGAATTCGAACATAACGTACAATGCTCTACAGAACACTTTACAACGATATTACGAGCAATACATAGATAGGCAGGCATGTAAGCATGCATTTGCAAAAGCCATAAATGCCTTGATACATAGACGTTTTTATTCAATTAAGTAAAGGTTAATGAGTTAGTGGAGAAAAATTTTTTGTTAGTAACGAGAAAGTTAATCCTTTTTTAACCTTGCTGTGCATATATTTTTTTTTATTTACGTTTAATTTTATTTATTATTATTATTATATTATTTTTTTTTTTTGTTTTACTTTACGATAAATACTTTTTTTTTTTTTGTTATGTTCTTGCATTTATTTTTTCTTGTCCCCTAAATATTTAATGAAATGATTTGTATTTTATGAACGCGTGTGAAACGCTTCTCGCAGCGTTTCTCTATATATTTATGAAGGAACCGTTTACAACGAGTGTCGAGTATCAACTAAATTTCTATGCGTTTTTTATGCTCTCTCTTTAAAATAAAGCTACTAACTAAGGATACAATTGAGTCTTTATACGTCAGGACCCTGAGTAAAAGTTCCGTGTACGAAAAAACTTGAGTACAATAATCGCGAAAAGCTTTTAGGAAGAGAGTAAAGCTTCGAAAGCGCAATTAAAATTTTATAATTTTAAAAATTGTAATTACACATGCTGTACATGCACATGCTTAAGAACTTGTTATTAAACGATTTTTGAACTTGAAATTTAAGCAGAAATCTTAGTATTTTAAAAGCTTAAAATTCTGCGATAGTTATAAAGAAAAATTTTGTTTTGAAGACTTGAGGACTAAAAAAATAGAGAGGTCGATTTTTGATTAGAATAACAGGGAGGTGAGTTTTTAAAATTCTGCTAATATATAAAACCGTGTGAAACTTATAGAAGACGATTTATTTTCGATTGAAGGGAGATCTTAATATAGTTGAATTAAATTATTCGCGGAAATATCTAAATATTATCGCATTTTCGCCCACGCCCTCAGTGGTAATTTTGAATGCAAAATATCTTGAAATAACTGAGGGTTCGATCTTAAGCTTGTACATGAGATCTATCGTCTTCAATTACCACTCAAAGTTAATTGAAGTCTTGCCCACACAACTAGTGATTGGCGAATTAAAGCGAGGAGCATCTCGGAGGCTAACATTTCCGCAATAAAATTGCGAATATATTTGCGTTGTGCTGCGTGAAAGTCTAAAATTATCGCAACGGAAGAGTCTTCCTAAACGTCCAGTGTCTCTACGAGTTTACGGAGAAGTATCTGTCGTGAACACTAAATCCGATTATGCACGTAGCGTACTTTGCAGCTAATTTTATTTGTCTACAAGCATTTGCTTTTATGGATGCGACTCCGCGCTATCTAGGCACAAAGTCTGTCCAAAATATACGATCGTTCGGAGGCCAAGCAACCAGTTTAAGATTTCGATCAAAGCACTAAAGTAAGCACTTTAGCACTCTTTAAAGCCTGATATCTCGTCATATATATGCAACCTCTTCGCTTTCGAGTTCCTATACCTGATCATAAGCTTCGGAAGGTACAAGATGTTTTAAATCTACCAAAATAGTCGTCATATTTCATAATGGGTTGTTAGAATAGTCTTCAAGCCCTTTCATACCTCCTCCGTATTTTCAAGCAATGCGGTCTTAGGTAGTCTTTATACAGGTCGTCCTTGCTGCTTAGTTGAAATTTTTATTTACAAATCTTTCCAGAGAATCGACTTGACAAAAGAACTGGTTTTTCTACATTGCAAGCTCTTCACTAATTTCATCATATGATAGCTGTTTACGTTGCAATCAAACCATTGAGTGGTTAAGTTCCACTTACCAATGTGTGTCTTTCTTTTTGCATAAAAACATATAGTGAATAACGAAAAACTAAAATGTGAAAAAATGAAAAATTGCTTACAAGTTAAGCGTCCGCCTGCCTTCGCGATAACGTTTCTAACGCAGCATTTTTATGTTATCATGTTTGTTGCTTTTCCATTGTAAGCAAAGGATAATTTCAGTAATTTTTTGGTTTCGCTCAATGCTGCCTTATCGACCATTAATCTAACACAGACACAGAAAGCAATTCCATGCTTCCGCTCAAATTTTTACTGAATTACGTTACGTTGATCACTGAAATTACTCTCAGCAATGAAATGCGAAAGTATGATTGATTTTTATATCAACATGTACGTATAGAGGTAACCTGATAATTATTATAGATACGCTTTAAAAATGTTTAAATTTTGCCTCGGCAGCTTCCAAAATATTTTACACCCATCACAATCATCCTATCTATATCCATTCCCCAAACCCTTTTATTTTATACCCATATCAATGGAATTGTGGACAGAAAGTTAACCTCGGCGACCTCTGTGACGTCCGTGATATTTAATTTCAAATTTACACACTTAGCTTGTCGCATTCTATTCTTCAAGTCCTTTTATACCACTTTGACGCCCGTTTAATTATACTGCAAAGAAAACTGCAACGAATCCTCCGAAATAAAAATTTGATCTCTTATAACTTCCTGCAGATGAGATCGATTTTTTTCATTTTTTTACATCCTCCCTCCTTCTGCATAAAGCAAGTAGAGAAAATTTCAGCCTTCCAGATTTTTTATGAGTAATAAGCAAAACCACACAAATTTTTGCTTGGAGGAGCAGATATGCGCCCAGTTTATGGTTTACTCTGGGCCTGGGCTTTGACCAAGATATCCAATCTGCGCACAAAGACTTTATAGAGTCTCTGGAGCGTCCTTCTGAGTATTGCAAACGTTTTGACGAAATGAATATACCTCTCATCAATCGATGATAAGGTAGGTGTAAAACGTAGCGGACCGAAAAGATCAAAACGTAGGCGCCGCATTAAAATCTGAGCAAATCTTTATTACAACTCGCTCAAGTTGCAGAACGTTTCGGTACGAAAACAATGCTTCTTGTTCTTTCCACTAATCTCAAATCTTTCCCTCGTAAAGCGCACAATATCGGGTCCATTTCTAACGTTACTATATGCAGGTCTTATATCCTACTATGGCAAAAACAAAAACGCTGCTATAACAAAAAAAGATCTTGTCCCCATTATAAATGGGCTTAAAACTAATAATGATTTTGTTCTAATCGAATAGATGCTATTAGAAAATTGTAGACTTAATGCAAAAATTTTCACTCAAAATCAAAAGCAAATAATGTGCAGAACTCTCAAATAAAAAAAAGCTTTTCAACTCGAAGCTTTTACACATTGAAGGAAAAAATACTTTGCGAAGAACGCAACACCTGTGCACCCTCTCGCGCTCTTATGCATGTAGTTGAAAGCTTATTCTCACATATCTAGAGAAACGCAGAACAAAACAAGTGAGACATTGTCTCACACATTTTCATCTTTTAACTATTAACAATAAGCAAATGTTTATAAAAACATTTCTTATGGACATTCCGACTTAATGAGCAACTTTACAGACGTAATGACTCAATGATTCAACCCTCTTCCACAAACATAGATATTTTACAACAAAACAAAGAAAAATCCTTTTACATATCATACCATCCACAAATTCACATAAAGTACCCGCTATGGCTAAGAAGAAGTTAAGTAACGCTATCGGAGTACGTAGATTCATCTAATCTGCCCTAAGTCAAATTAGAGAAATGTATATTTCTTTAATTAATTATGAATTATTTGTTATTACAAAAACAAATATTGATATATCATTCGATTCATTCGAAGAGACACTATTTATGGTTTGCAATAATGCCGGGCAATTGTAAACGATATACAATACATGGACAAACACGTAGATCTCCTGTTCGCTTTTATTAGCATTTGATTAAATGCTTGAAATTTACTTCGAATACAAAACTACAACGAAACGTTGATGGATACAAGACTAGCAAGAACGAAAACATAGAAACACATTCTCAGATTGCAGGCAAAAAAAATGAAAAAAAAGAAAAGAAAGAGAAACGCTATGACAATTAAATATTTCTAAGCATACATTAGCTTAAGTAGAAGCAGATGAATATGGTTAGTAAATGCACAATTTCGAAGCGAAAAGAGATTGCTAAACTTTTTAACCATAACAAACACCTATATACCTCAATGGAGAATAAAAACTAAAGAATGTTTTCAACAAAAAGCGAAACCAAAAAAAAAAAAGGGGAAAAAAACCGATAAAGGAGTCAAGTGGCTGGTGTTGCATAAAATATTGCCTTTGAGGATGGAAAAAAGCAAAAATGCTCTTATGAACATGACAGTTGTATATATGCGGTAAAAAGTGTTTCTTTTTTTTATTTTTTTTATTTCATGTTCTACTTACACATGCATGCATGCTTGCGTAAATGTATGAATGGCAAGGAAAATAGATGAATTTATTGGGTTTTAATGAAAAATGATTTGTTTGGCTTAAGGTAACACAAAAAACGGTTATTTCTGCTATTATATATCGCACAATCATACATATTTGAAAAGAAGAAGAGAAAGAAAAAACAAAAAAAAGGCGATCATTAGTTCTGCTGTCAAAGACACTACAACAACGAACTGCTATCGAATTGATGCAATAATAAACGCAATTATTCAGATATAAGAAAACGTTCTCTATGTTTAAATAAATGTTCGGCACGATATGTAGCTTTCCATCTCCTACTAACACATAAGCGGATAGAATAAGAATTTTATTATTCCGCTGCCGGCATCAGCATTCAAAAATGTTCATGAAAATTTTTTTAACTAATTTTAGTTTTTTGCGCTTACGTATAAATTAAAGCAGATACTATTTTTTGTTTTTCTTTTTAAATGAGATCTACATGGCTGAGGCTATTTAATGTGGTTTTCTCCATTAAATCTAAAGCTCAGCTGTCAGATTTTATCCTTGAAAAGTTTGCACTTGGCGCTACTCTATACTCTATACACTATCAACTCGCACAGCTCGTGAATATGACGCCGTATAGGATTTCTTCTTCGAGATATGAAACTCAGTCGTGTTTCTGATATACGCTTAACTCGAGTAAGTTCTTTGAAAGACTTTTTCTTCACTACAATAAACTCAGCAAAATTTCTGCTTACACTCGCTCCGAAGATACTTTCTGATGTAGAATAATATAAGGTGTCACGGTACACCTAAAATCATTTGCACTTCCCATGCTTGATGATGGGAAGCTAAATTGAGAAAATCAAGATTTGAACTATAGTTCTATATAATATTTGCAACCCCGTAAATATA